CATAGGGCTTTCAGCCCTCTCTAAGCGGTTTACAGAGTCAGCATATCGCCCCCCACAGTCTGGGTCCTCATTTCACGCACCTCGGAAGGATGGAAGGCTGAGTCAACCCTGAACCGGTGAGATTTGAACCGCTGAACTGCAGATATCAGTCAGCTGAAGTGGCCTGCAGTACTGCACCCTAACCACTGCGCCACCTCGGCTGTGGGGCAGGTTTTTCACGCTCCAGAGGCTTCAGGGAAGCTCCTGAAGCCTCCGGAGGGCCTCGGGGGGGGGCAGTGGAGGCTGTTTTCACCCTCCCCAGGCTCCTATAAAGCCTCTGAAGCCTGGGGAAGGTGGAAAAAAGCACTCCAAAAATGGGGGGGAGCGCTGGTTGTGCGTGCATGCGCGCTGGGGTCGTGTGCATAGCATTCTAGGTGTGGCACGCCCACACACAACCCCCCCTGGGCTCCCCCCACTTTTGGCACACGAGCCAAAAACGGTTTGCCATCACTGGTTCTAGAGTCCTGCTATCATGAAAACAGGAGGGAAAATTAAATAAATCCCCTGTTGTAACCTATACTAGGGAATGAATGTTGCAAGCAACTGCCTAGGTGGGGGCCAACAGTTTTTCTTTGGCAAGAGATACACAGTTTCCCGATGCCTCCCTCCTAGGAGGAAAAAAAAAAAATAACCAGCCCCAAACCACCCAGCCAGCACTGATGGCCAAAGCAGGATTTGAATTCACAGTTCCCCAGCTTTGTAGTGTGGGAAGTTATCACCCAGCCCTCTCCCAGAAAAATGAAATATCCTAGGAAATATTGAAAAGGCAGAATATTATATTTCCCTGGATGTGAAAAGGAGAAATGTTTTAAAGAGAAACTTCCTGCAGCTTCCTCCCTCCCCCCCCCCTTTGTCAATGGGCCATTAAGAAGGCCAAGCTACTCCCTTTACATAATAAAGAGTTCTCCACTTCAGCTCCGGAGTGATGGGATTAAGGCATGATAATATTGGGCCTTTACCCAACTGACCATATGGCATCTGAGAACTCAACCAAACCTGGATTCAAAACGCAGCCTAGAGAGTTGCCCCTGGATGGGCCCATGGGAGCATGACAACCAATCAGAA